GAAGATATCTGATGTTATAGTAGATGTTTGTTTTTTACTTCTTAACGACTGAACAACAACAATAATGTATATATATTAAAGACATATTTAGCACCTTGTTTATTGATGCATTTCCAGGCAGTGCATAGAGTTAAAAAATAAAATTGACTATAAAATGCAAAAACTAGAGTAAAATAACAACAAAAAAACCACAAACCCACTGTCAGTAAGCTCTCCAATGCCCAAGTGAATAAAGTAAAAATGTCCATGAATAGATTATAACAAAGCACATTCCAGAGGAGAGAGTGGCCCAGAGAATGAGTCAAAATATAAAATCTCCTCCTCTTAGTAAACACCAAGTGGAAATCCATTGCAGAAGTGCACAGCATCCAGCCTTCCAGATGTTGAACTACAGCTGCCAGCAGGCCTGGCTAAAATATCCAGTGTATTTAGCAACATCTTAGAATGCCACATGTTGAACATCTGAACTTTGAGATTTTACTTAGTTGAGTTAACCAGGAGGGTCTCTGATAATGGTTACACTAGGCAGAAAGATCTGTATAGAGAAGATTTCACCCTTCCTTGGTAAAGTGCAAAGAAGTGTACATTGCATTTCTGCCCCATTTTATTCTCATGTAGGCAACACTTGAATACTTTTTATTAAGCTAACCAATTCCTAAATGACATTCATAGTTTATTGATAACAACAACATGGTTCTCCCAGTTGCCAAACAAAATGAAGGAAATGTTGACATAGTATAGCAGCTTGGAATGAAATACATTGATGTCGAATCAGATCTTATGTACGTATCAACATTAGGGTTATTTCAATCTGCAACATAGGTTCCATACTATCATGTCTGTATGTAGCTATGGTGCAGGACTGGCTGTACATCTCTGTATAGAACAGGGTGTTATATTCCCAATTGTGCAAAAAAGCTGTACTTTTGTTCTGGGTGGTATTATATTCTGAATTTTTGGTATGTAAAATGTTTGATGAAGATTATTGATTTCTGAATGTATTTGACTTTTCTGTTTTCAGCTCACAGACAGTGCAGGAGAAGAGGAATTAGCAGAAATGAAAAGAGCACAAAAAGGTAAGATACTTTGGTTTGATCTCTGCACCTGCAATGTTTTTAAAGAGATGTAAACTACATATAGATTATGCCTACCACAGGCATACTCTTCTCCATCTCTTTATGTTAATAGGATCACCTAAGCGAGGGGTGGGAAGCCTGTGGTTTTTCAGATGCTGCTGAATTTTAGTTTGTAGCATCCCTTATCCCTTGTAGCCCAGCAATCTTTGCTCTATGAATTCAGTTACTGAATCTCAGTCTCATATACAAGGTACTAAGGGAAGTAATTGACACTGATAGCAATTCTGGTACATTAAAAAAAGATTGCATGATTTGAACTTCAATCTTCTGTTGCAGCAGCTGTTCCATTTTGAGAACATGGAGAGCACCAGAGTCCTGTTCGTTCTGTCAGTCAGGGCTTTTTGCTGGTCTTTGAGCTGCCTCTCCCTTTCTGCTTCTCTCAGATAAAGGGCAACATGTGGAAGTACGAGTGAACAAGGAATGGTTCACAGGCCGAGTTACAGCAGTGGAGGTGGGCAAGCAGATGGTCCGTTGGAAGGTGAAATTTGATTATGTCCCAACTGATGTTACCCCAAGGGATCGATGGTAATTTTTAATGTACAGATTCTGGAGCAATAGGGGAGGGGCTTTTTGAGGGCTGGGGCACTTAAAGGTTTTGTGCGATGGTAAGGCTGCTGTGAATTAAGTGATGAAACAACTTGTTGGAACCATGTAATACATGTAGATGGCTCTGGGATTTTAAGAGAGAAGGCTTCCTTTGTTCTTTCTTGCTAACAGTGTTAGATCTTCATTGGGTCTTACACATAGGCTGTGCAGTATTTCAGGTTCAGTTTGGGAGAAGTAGCATTGCAAAGCCCTGGCTTAAGGCAGGAGATGTTCATGTTTTGGTGCAATAAGAGTAGGGAGAATAATACCACTTAGTGTTTGATGGTATGCCTCCACAGAGTTCACCCTGAGGCAACTCTGCAGCCTCTCAGGCTGCCAGAGATATGACAATAGGCTTTCATTCCCCAGTGGGCAGTTTCTACACTTGTTCTATCTCTAGAAGGGGCACATTCCTGATGCATGCCACCACTAGTAGATCTTTGCTAACAGGCCATGCACAGCAAGACCAAGACTTCGGGTTTCCCTTTGGGAAAGAACCCTGCAGATAACTGATGATGAACTAGATTTGATTCATCTGGCCTTAAATAGTGAGGCGTCCCACTGTTTTACCATTCAAAACTAAGGGGAAAAGTACAGGACCAAATAATTCCCTGATATTGGGATATTATTTAGTTCCTCCATAAGGTACTCTAGTGTCTTGTTCTATCCAAGCCTGAACAAGGCAGTTGTACAAAGCAGTAGCTCTGGTTACAAGAGCTGGCTCTGAGCTATTTTTTTTTAACACAACACCACTTAAGCACCGCTTCTTCTGATCTTTCTGATTCACTTAACTCCAGGACTAAGAAAGATGCTGCCTTTGCAAATCAAGAGAAATGTTTCTCAAGGACAAGATCCAGAATTATTCACCACCCCCTCAGTCTGATTGTAGTAACTCATAATCTCCCACATAATTACCATTTTAGCCAATCTCAGTCCAACTTTTAGACTTGCATATGGAATGATGCTCCAGATAAAGAGTACCACATTTTTCATATTAACAAGAATGGAGGAACTATGCATTCCAATTGAAGTGGGCAACACTATGACATGAAAGTTTGGCACTTCTGTCTGTATTGCATCTACCAAGTTTCATCAATGCCAGTATCAGTGGTCTTTATGTCTTCTGTATCCATCACCCTAATGTTAGCTAGTGGCACTATGCACAGGTCCATCAGCCTCATGACCACAGGACTATTTTGCTCCACCAACTATTTACGACCAAACCTTTAGAATAGTATCTGCACAGCTCTCTTGAGACCACAGCCATGACCATCCTGCAAGCAGACAGATGCAGCACATTTTACTAGAGAAGATGCCCATGAGACTGGCTCAGACTTAGAAGGTCAGAGAGCCTCTTCATTGTCCCTGAAAGCAGTGATGGACAATCTGGTATGTTTATCATCACTGGTATCAAAAACAGCCCATTCTCTCAGCCTACAGATGTAAGCAATTCAGTCGTTCAAGTGTTGGTGTTCATTGTCATATAAGATACATCCCTGTTGGCAGTTGCCCCACGTTTCTTAGAAGGAACCCTTCTCTAACTCACCTCCCTCTTGCCAAATATACAATTTATACAGAAACGAGGATTGCCAATCCTTCTGACATCATCCTACCCAGAATTTAGTAGTCATGGATTCTTTCAAGAGGTGGTATCAGCTGAGAAGGAGGGTAAGAAACTGAATGCTGTAAGCCATAAACTTTGCAAGTCTGGCACCTTACCCATCCATAATTCTCTTAACTGCTGCCCACCAGTTATCTTGTCTCCTCCCGTAGAATCATTGATATTAGCTGTACTAATGGGACACTCCTTCTCAGTGCTGCTTCACCTGCCATGGAAAGCAGCCTTTCTGATGGCTGTCCTTTCAGACAGGAAGACTAGAGAATAGTTGTGCTTAGCATAGGTCCTACCCACATAATTTCAAATAGATCAGCTGGTTCTCAGACAGGATTTTGTTTCTGCCACATTGTTTTTCCTCTGTCATTTAAAGCATGATACCAGCCTTTTTCCAGGATCTGACATGCTTGATGTCAGATGGACTTTAAGTGTAGAGAAGAGTACCTTTCCACTCCAGTCGGTGACATATTTGAGTCTGAAAAAAGCATGGTTTATGGCAACTGAGGTCTCGGTGACATCAGCCCCACCAGGTAGACCAGACGGGGAATTAATTCCACAGAAAAGCTTATTGAGAGGGGATATAATAACAGAATCTTGCAAGTCTGATTGTGCTATACCTTCACGCCTTATACCCATGTGAACTAGGGAGGTGTGTGTCTGAGCTGCTTCTGCATACTTCTGCTTGTTTTGGACTTAAGATATGCTTTTCCCCTCATCGCTTTGGTAACAGACCTAACCTGTCTTCATCAAAATCATCTTTCTTACTCTCTGCTGGTGGTCCCTTTTCATACAATATCGGGAAACAACCCCACCCTGTTGGAATCTAGGCTTATTCTGCCTTGATAATGGCAACATCTTGTTTTCTGAAATTCTTGCATTACCAGCTAACTTTAGAATTTGCAGGATGGATACCAAAGCAGGAGGATGTTAAAGGAGGTGCCAGGACTGAAACAAACACCCATTGTGTTTATTTAAATTGTCCCTATTAATTATTTACAGTACCAGGGATCTTTCCCCAGTCTTCCACAGTGAGCCCAAGTGGCAAGGACAGTCTCTGGAATTCGACTCAAAAGGAGTTGCTTTTGTTGGGCAGGTTTTATAGCCCTGCAACCTCTCTTTCCCCCTCCACCTCCAGAGTTGCTTAGCTTAGGCATCAGCAAGGAAAGATTATATATTAATGAGGATTAAATGTCTAGCAAGCACTAGGCACCTGTTATGACAAAAGAGGGAAATTATCTATTTGGGGTTAGAACAGAAAGTTTGTTATCTCACAGCTCACAAGAGTAAATAGGAAGAGTTACCTTGTCTAAGCAGCATCTCTTCCAGTTAATTGAAAAATGCAGGTCACAGAACACATCTGCAGTATTCTTCTGGCATATTCCACTTTCTGAATTCTGCAAGACAGCAGTGTAGTCACAGTCTACCATGTTCATTAGGAATTCAAGTTCAGAGGAAGCCTCTTACATCATAGCTGAGCCATCCTTGATGTTACAGTAACTCTTTCTCCACTGTCAGGTAAAGACACCTGCTAATCAGCCATGAGTGTCAATTCACTGAGACTGTAAGGAAGAGGAGCTAGTTACAGCTGTGTGAATATTCAATCCAGAAATTCAGTTCCAAGGCAGTCCCATAATTTGAGTTTCTAAATGGTTTTAGCCTGTAGAATTGAATGCCTCTGATACTTGTGCATGTGCAAATATACTCTTTGCTGATTAATTTTTTTCAGATTTCCAAATTGATTCAAAAGTCAGAATCAGATTGACTTGATTTGCCAAATTGAATTAGAAATTCAAATGGAATCAGATCAACTTTTCTAATTGATTCAGAAATTTAAATCACATTCTGGGTGATTCACACGCCCCTATTGATGGCATGACTTTCGCTGAACTTCTGTCAGGCCTAGCCCAAGGAACTCCAAGAGACCATGTAAATTCAGTCCAGCTATGTTTATTAGCTACAACCTCTAGCAAGAATCTTCCCAGACTGAAACCCCAGTTCCCAAAGTCATCCAGTCACAACACTGAATTCCTCAGGGAGGTGCCAGTCTCATCCTCTTGTTCTTCCCACGCTGTTCTGGCAAGCTAAGAAAATGTTTATCTCCCTGAGCCTGGCCTTCACAATTCCACTCCATCACATCTTCTTTGAATAGTCATCTGTGAATCCTCTCCCCTATTGGAAGCTTTCTCTGGAGTTTCTAGGATTCACTGTGATGGGTCATGGAACTCAGGAAAGGGCAAAGACCATGTTGTCACGGGGGATACTATTGAAGAGTAGGACTTCTACCCAGGCTCTAAAGCTTTCTGAATGTGGCTCTTTATAGGTGTAGAAACTATGTGTGTGAATTCACAGATGACCAGTTGAAATGAGTTGCAAGTTGTAATCAGCATACAGGAGTTAATTTATAACTTAATTCGCTAATGATTTTCTGAGACCCCAGTTCCTGAGTGCTGTGAATCTTTTTCAGTCTCCCACTTCCTCTGACTCTTCTGGTTTTCCACCAAGCAATGATCACAGGACTGATTTATCTTTGTAATCCGAAAGGATAGAAGCTTGCTTTTTAAAATAAAAAAGCCAGACCAAGGTCCTTAAGAAGCTGAATTCTGTAGTATTATTACAATTCCTCTACTCCTAGAATTAAGTAGCTCTGCTCTGTAAATTGTGAGAATTAGCAGCCTTTTCATTTTGACCCAGGAATGATGTCCAAGGCTGAATTTGAGTATAAGACAACCAGTTCTGAATCACATCAAATACTTTTTTCTGTTGCCATCATGCTGTGACTGTAATTGCACTGTCTCGCTTTTTTATTTCCCAGCAGCTGATGCAGAAAAATAAACTCCCCTTGGGTGTTCTGCATTTCATGTACTTGATAAAAATGTTGTGTCCAGTATTTTAATGATTGTAACCCTTGGTCAGAAAGAAATGTCAGAGGCAGTTAGTGGAGTCACTTTAGAATGGCAAAGACTTGTGATGTGCCTGTTGCTTTTGCTTCATTCAGGGTAGAAAGAGGCAGCGAGGATGTGAGGCTGATGAAGCCCCCCTCTCCAGAACATCAGATTCCAGATACTCAGCAGCAGCAGCAGCAGCAGCAGCAGCAGCAGACAAATGTTCCTCCTGAACCTTCTACCTCTGAGTGTGTCCGAACAGAGCCAGATACCACTGGATCCAGCAGCAGCCAGGAGACTGTAGACTTGTTAGCCCAGTCCCTACGGTGAGTTTCAGTTCAGTGTCCTGGAAGCATTTGTCACTGCAGTCATAATTTGGTCTTCAAGCATGTATTTGATCTTCTCATTTTGTGTTTCTGAATAAACTATTAGCTGCCTTTCAGGTTTCATTATTGGACCAGATGCAGGGGGATACTACCATTTAATGTTGCAATCCATTGAGATCTGCCAACTTTGAATAATTTATTCAGGTCATGGGGAAGAGCAGGACACTAAACACTTTGAATGCATCTTTTGATTGATTGACTGATTATGTGCCATCAGGTCAGTGTCAACTCAGCAACCACATAAATAGATCTTCTCCAAGATGGTCTGTCCCCAACCTGGCCCTTCACGTCTTCCAATGGCACACCCTTCATCACTGTAATCGAATCCATCCTCCTTGCTGGGTTGTCCTCTTCTTCTCTTTCCTTCCACCTTTCCCAGCATTAAAGACTTATCAAGAAAGCTGGGCCTTTGCCCTATATATATATAGAAACATCCTTAATAAAAAGTAGAACTAAGATTTTAATGTTTGAATTCTGCATCCAGTATAATTTTCTATGCTTTGTGTTTTTAAAGAACTGCAAATGACATCATACTTCTCCTATGGACTTGCCTGTCTTCTGTTTGTTTCTGTAGGAATTGTTTGCGTTACTTCCTACCCCCCAATTTTCCCATCTCCAAGAAGGATTTGACTTCCATGAGCTCAGAAGAGTTGGTGGCATTCCCTTTGGTGAGTCCTTTGTTCACTGATAAATTCACAGCTGAGGCAAGCAATACCATAATTAACGGCTTCCCCAGGTACATTCTTGAGTTCTCTTTTATGAGATGTAGATTTTTAGAATCAGTGGTTTGGTATCACATCTGTTGTCATCTCCTTTAATATTTGTGAAATTCCTAGAATAGGAGCTGAACCCTTGAATTCTAGTTTGATGTTGACATAACTGGGAGTAGTTTATACCACTACTTTGTGCTAACATATAAAGCAGAAGATGAAAGAAGTTAGAATACAGATCCCTGCATTAAAATTCATTTGTTATTTATAGAATATAGTTAAATTATACACTCCCCTCCCCCCAAAAAAGCCACATAATCGTAACCTGTTACTCAGCATAAGGGCTGGTTTGACTTGCCTGGAGCAAATTGAAGTTATTTGTCTTGTTTTTGGTAATCTTGGAATGTTCTCCCTGTGTCTATCTTTCCACAGAAAGAGTACTTTAAACAATATGAGATGGGTCTGCAGAACTTATGCAACTCTTATCAGACCCGTGCAAATGCCCAGATCCAAGCGTGCGAGGAAAAACTTCATATCCAAGAGCAGAAGCTCACAGAGACAAAGGAGAAGCTTCAGAAATTGAGGACAAACATCGTTGCACTACTCCAGAAAGTGCAAGAAGTGAGTGAGGCCTCACTGCAGAACCTGAACTATCTCTGTCTTTGAGCTCTTTGTCAAGATGTGCAAAACCTACCGTTCCCAGGACTCTAGGTTTGCACATACCCACTGTTAGATCACAGCCTTTAAGTTGCTTTGAATCACATTTTCCATAAGCTGTACTTAGAACAGCCAGTAATCAAGAGTTACAAGAATTACAGACAGAAGTTACTAAGTCTCCAACTTCTCTCACATCTGCCTTTGCTTAGATTCTCAGAATCTTCTTGTCTACCAAATTCTGTATTGTATTTTTGTAATTGCTAAGAGTCACTGTTGAGTATTTTGTTTGTAAGAGGTACATTCTAAGGACTAACATGTCTTTTTGCTGTTTTTAGGACATTGATTTCAATACAGATGATGAACTGGATGCTTACATTGAGGACCTCATCACCAGAGGAGATTGACCAGCCCAGTTCCAGCATCAGTGTGAAATCAGAAAGGAATGTGATTACTGTGTCTTCTGCGTCACCAGTAGGTGTAGAGCAAGCAGCCCAGACTGATGGGCAGAGGTATGGCCAGGGTTTTTAGAGACTTGTGTTCTTTATAGAGTATGTCAGTGTAGAACATGTTCGTATTTTCTCTTTTATATAATGGAATGAGCAACTGTGCTGTTGATTAAGGTTTCTAACCTTTGTTTATAAATATTTGTAAAAAAATAACCAAAAACCCCAAAAATATAATCATTCACATACCAAGCCTTGTTTGTATTATGGATGGGTTCATTTTGAAGTTTGATAGAGTTCAGCTACAAGAAAAACTGTTCCCCTTGAAGGAATGTTACCGCCCAGAGTCGCTCATTGGGTGATTAAATTTGAAATATAAATAAATGCACTAGAGCTGGTAGCACAAGCATATTGGCACAGTTTATTGCTGGCGTCCCTCTTGCAAGGAGGAGAAAATGAACATAAAGCATATGAGCTCCAAAGGCAACAGAATTGTTTGTGCAATTGGAGAAAAGCACATTTCTGACAGCAGGGGGTGTTGTCAATCAGAAATACAGTTTGTGGCCCGCCTCCTACTTTGCACTTCTGGAAACTACCAAGCATCACTTCTGTGCTTTTCTTCTAGAGCTATCAATGTTCTTCATGTTAAGAAGCTGGAGTAGTGAGATATTTAAATTTGCTGGAGCCTTGACATTGTTCCATGTCCTAGGATAAAGAGCTGGAGGGTGGAATTATATATGATTACTTCTTTGTCTCTGGAGATGTTAGGAAGGGAACTCAGACAGGTGAACTCAGCCCCTGAAGCTAAAAGAAGTAGGAATGAAAATAATCTCAAAAGCCTGAGAAGCTGCATTAGCTTCTGTAATGGTAGAAGCATCAGAAAAGGAAACTTGGGGAAGACATAGAGGTAAAATGCATTCTTGGTTTGGTGACCTGTATCCTGTTAGATTTTAAAAAAAGAAACAACAGTGTTTCATATTGACATAAATGAATTTATTACGGGGCAGTGGGAAGAAAACAGCTTGTCTGTGTTTGTATATGTTCACCCATGGTTAACCTAACCATGTTTTATTTGATTAACCCAGTTTTCTGATTCAGCACGATGCATTGAACCATTAACTATACAGCCTGGATTTGCTGAAATGCAGATGGCAAATTTAGTTCTGCATGTTGTGCAAACCCAACCCTTCTTTTGGTTCCTCCCACCTTAGAGGTGCCCTGTTCAAATAGCCCCATTCTGAATTTACAGGAGGCTGAATGTGTTTGAAGCAAGCTTGGGCCCTGCCTTGAGTGTCACTTCAGGCCAAATATAATGGGTTGCTGAATTGTTGCATAGATCGTTGTGTAGCCTTATGCACTTTCAGAAGGAAGAGTGGGCAGTCTTCCAGTACACAATGAATTCCATAAGTACACCCCCCCCCCACTTTCTTCTTCAAGCTATTTTCCAACAAAATCTCTTGATAAGGAGTCTTTTTGCAGACAAGCACAGCTGACTGAAAGTCTATATAACACCCAAGCTCAATAGAATTCAGGGACATTTTTGAATTCAGTCTTGGCTTTTGCTCCTGCTTTTAAAAAGAAAGATCAGCCACAAACAGGAAAAGAGGCTCTGTCTCAGAGGAGTATCCAGCAAATGTTCAAGGACTGCAAAATCACACTGAGCCTGCAGCTGCTAGAAGCATCTAAGAGACATAGAAAAATAATCTGTTCCTCAGTTCTGATTAAGACAGCAACCACATTTAGTAGCTCCCAGCAGGCCCATCCAAAACAAGGGAAATGGCCCTTTTTATTCAGAATTGTGCAGAAATTTAATTTTCAGACAGACACTTCCTTCAGAGTCATTCAGCCATGCTGTTATGATGAGACAAGGTCCTTGCCTACCTGTGCTTGTGCAAACATGGGCAAAGGGGGATTTGCATGACCACCTCTGATAAGTGGAAGTAACTCATACAAGCAAACCTTTGTAGGAGCAGAAACCACAGGAGCAAGATGGCTCCTCTCACATCAGACTGCAGCTGCTTTCTGCAGTTACATTTCTCCTTTCTTTTTATGGGAGAAGGGTACACTTCCACTGTTTAATGTGCTACTGTAACACACACAGGTTTTAGCACAAGCTGCTCATGCCTGACATAAGAAGGATAACATTTGTGCCATTTCTGAGGTGGCCAAAATCAAGGCAACAGTTTCTCAAGTTTATATGGGTATGATTTTACTTTTATTTGAGGGAGACATTTATTATTAGGGTTTACACTCTTAAATTTCTTTTTCCTTCCGGACTAAGCTGCTTAAAAAGGTATGTGAAACTCTGCAAGGGTCTTATAACCATATTCAGGTAGAGCCAGTTACAACTCAGTAATCAAGAGTCCTAATTAAAATCTTCAGTTGCAGTGAAAGTTGTGAACAAGAATGGGCAACCTACATTCTAGATTTACACACAGTTGATTCCTAAAATTATTTTCTGCACTCCTTGAGCCACTTCTGATGAGAGTTGCTGAAAATCAGAAACTGCTTCCCTGCTGTTCTGAGGTAGGTGGTATATATTCTATATATATTCTTAATATATATTCTAAAATGGGATTAACATGCATTTTAAAGGAAATGACGACTTCCCTTATAGGATCCAAAAAGCCTTATAAATTTCCCCAATGTGAGTGATCGGGAAATGGCAGTGGCAAACCACTTCTGAAAATGGTGCTGAGAAAATGGGATTAGTCCAGGCAGTCACCAGGAATCAGGGCTAACTTGAAGGCACACGCACAAAAATGGTTTAAAGACATGAGGGGTTGCATAAGTCACTGCATGCTTGCTTCTCCAGTGCACAGAGTAATCTGGTTCTAGAAGTGAACTTTGCCAAGGCCTTCCTCTATAATTTGACACTGAAAAGAAGTCCTGCTTGCCCTTTCAGTTCAAGAAGAAAGTTCCATTTGGGCCTTTTATTGAAGGCTAATGCTGTAGGGAGAGGAATTTGGGGGGAAATAATTTACTTGTATCTATATATTAAGGCTTATATGCCAGTCCAGTCAAAAGAACCCCAGGAAGAAGCTGAGGAAAAAAAAGAGTTTAACAAAATTAGCAATTACACAACTAAAACTGCAGAAAGTTTCAGCACTGGAGAAATGCTCAAATATCAAAGTACAGGCCTCTCTTTTAAAAAGTGTGTGTGTGTGTGTATCTGCCCATCTCACACAAAGCGACTCTGGGCGGCATACAACAATTAATAAAATAACAAGTGAATAAAAACAGGCATATAAAAAGATAAGTTATTTTTAAAATAAAAACATCACAAATTTTTAAAAATTAGATTTTAAAATATACAAAGCCTAGACAGACAGACAGCAAATTAAATTAAACAATTTGTTTAATTAAACAACTGACCGGCAAATTAAATAACTTCATAAAAAGAACAAAGGAACAAAACAGTGGAAGCCATGCAGGAAAGAAAGAACGAACATCTAGAAAGAATAATGAAAATGCCTTAAGGTCTAAAGCGTTCCTAAGTTATAAGCAGGAGTGCTTTATGATGTTTACTATAGCACAGTAATTATGGATTTACAAAAAACGAAGAACAAGAATACACAAAATTATAAAAGAAGAAAGGAAAATGGAAAAAAACCAAAACATATATTTACAAGACATCTGTGGTTGATCTATATTAATTAATTCTGCAAACTGCTGAATAGTTGGGTGCATGTTTGTGTTTCCGATGCTGAATAGTCTTTTGATTATGAGTGTATTTTCTTTGTCCAGAAGACAACTCCCACATGATTAAGATAGAATATCTAAAAATATTGAAAAATAATAATTTGTTGGAATTGCCATAACAAAGAAGGAACATTTTATCATATTTATTTATTTTATTTATTATTAAATTTGTATGCCGCTCATCTCCCCCAATGGGTATATGTAGTGGTTACGTAAAAAAACCCAAAAGTACTGGAAAGAAATACACCAAAACATTCAAAAAATTCTGAAAATAAAATTAAAATTAAAATCACAAATATTTTTTGTGGTATATTGGAATGATCCCAGAGAACATAAATAAAAAGAATCACGATTTAATAAGATACATGGTGACAGCCACAAGAATCAGTCTGGCACAACATTGGAAAATAAAAACCTTGCCATCGACACAGGATGGACAAGAGACTAAAACTGAAGAATATATGGCAATGGAAGAACTCCCGGTATACGTTCACAGCAGAAGTTAACCAAATTCAAGCAGCAGTGGTTCCTTTATATACCACATACCACACAGCAAGCAAGCTAAGACACTTAAAATATTTTTAAAGAAGAAAATGTTTTAAATAATAATTTAAAAGATCAAAACAAAAATGAGTAATAATGTCCAAAGTAAAGTTCAAGAATTACAGTAGTGGGGGGGGGACAGAGAAGAGGCTACTAGAATGCCCTTTTTATTTTTTATTTTTTTGTTTTGCTTTCTTTCTCAAATTCCTTTAAGTACGTGTGTATATATATGTTTTTGTTTTTGCCTTTTTTTTTTTGCTTGTATGTTTTATTTAACCAATAAAAAAGAAAACGCAGTTTTCAAAAGATTTTTAGATCAAATCCTTTTCAACAACAAACAATATTTTAGGGGTGACCTTGCTGCGTTTATGTTGTTGGAGATGCAGTGAAACTAACACTTTATTTAAATACATTGTTTCATTTTGGTAAGAGATTATATGTATTAACCTTGAGACAGAGGATTTTTGTTGATGGGCAGAAGGAGGAGGATAGAATGTAAATTGCTATCCAAGGAGCATCAAAGGAGCACGTGGACTGGGGTCTTGGGTTCCTCCAGAGCACAGGGACAAGTTTGATTTACAAAAGGGATGTTATTGTATGTTCCTTCCATTGGGATTGGCAAGGCATTAAGGTAAGCTGCAGAAAAAAACTGCAGGGTGATGGGCAGGTGATGCTGAGTAAAAAATTTGCTGGTCTGCTGTCATACTGCCAGTTACAGTGGTCTAATATGTCCTGCTCTACCTGAAGAGTGATGGCAAACACCCACTGCCAGTTTTCATCTCAATTTTCACCCCACCCCATCCCACCCCCCATAGTATTCCCCTTTGGCCACCAGTCTCCCAGCTGGGAAATTGTTAATTAGAAAATAGTAAAGCCCCTGGTAGCGATTTGATAACCCGCCACATTGTTGTACGCTTCCCCTTCTGGCCACCCACCTTCACTGTAAAGTTCTGAAGCAGCTTTTGCCAAAATGAGACCCTCTGGGTATATGGAAAACAGCTCAAGCCATATCCTAGCCATTATGACCAGCTTGTTTGGGATTATGGAAGTTGGTCCATCTTTTGTAACTTGAAAGCTGATCTAGAACGGGGATAACCCAGTGCTTCCCATCAAGGAGGTTTGACTAATGACTAGAAGTTGGGAGTTGTAGTCCCAAGCATCTGGAGGGCTCAATTTTTTCTCTCTCTTGTAGGCCGTCATATCAGCAGGGATCCAATCTGTAGGTGGATACAGGAGATACCTCTACAACCTTAAGTATTTCTCCATCGCTCAGTGACTGAATCTCTTCCACAATCTTTTTCCAGCTGCTAAGACGTTCTTTCCCCCCTCCCTTCCCACCACCCTTATCACTGTACCCCTTTTAT